AATCAACTCAATGGCAGTAGGTTTGGGTTTTGGTTTTTTATATGCGCTATACTACACAGTGACAACAGTGTAAACACTACATCTATAAAGACTTGCCCATGAGGTTCTGATTTTAACTTCTGATCAGGTTCCCCTTGCTAAATGATCTAGATGCTAACCCATAACTGCCACAGTATCCTTTAAAGTATGCCCTGTGACTTCCAGTGACATTAGAATTTTAACTTCAGTGTACACATATCCTAGGTAACAGGTTGTTTTCAGGAGTACCTGTCTGTCTGGATCAGTCATCTGTAGCAGCCTCTCATTTGTCGTCTGAAACAGGAATGACTATCGGATGCTGCGCCAGGGTATTATTGACATGGTCCTAGCCACAGAGATGACAAAGCACTTTGAGCATGTCAACAAGTTTGTCAACAGCATCAACAAGCCCTTGGCATTACTAGAAGAAAACAGGGTAAGGGGAACTCATTTTAGAGAGAACCTGTGTTTGGGGCCCTTACTGTATGTGCACATGCTGTGGCAGCAGCAGCCATTGTGTGTTGGTCCATGTCACAGGAGGGTGGGGGTTGGGAAGGACCCTATATTTGGGCTCTTGTGACATTATTGCTGTCCCTCATTTCTGGAGTTAGGCATGGAGTCCACAACTACATGACAAATATAACCTTAAACCACTCCCAGACAGGACGCTAAAGCTGAGGTAGCAGACAGATCTGTGTCCCCATCCTACTTCTACCCTATTTCCTTGTCTGTGTTGTTATTGTTAGGTGCCGTCGAGTCGGTTCCAACTCATAGAGACCCTGTGTACAACAGAACGAAACACTGCCTGGTCCTGCGCTATCTTCATAATCATTTTTATGCTTAAGCCCATTGTTGCAGCCATTGTGTCCGTTCATCTTGTTAAGGGTCTTCCTCTTTTTCGATGACCCTCTACTTTACCAAGCATGGTGTCCTTCTCCAGGGGCTGGTCCTTCCTGATAACATGTCCAAAGTATGTGAGACAAAGTCTCACCACCCTTCCTTCTAAGGAACATTCTGACTGTACTTCTTCCAAGAAAGATTTGTTGATTTTTCTGGCATGCCATGGTATATTCAATACACCATAATTCGAAGGCATCAATTCTTTGGTCTTCCTTATTGTCCAGCTTTCGCATGCATATGAGGTGATTGAAAACACCATGTCTTGGGTCAGGCACACCTTAGCCTTTAAAGTGACATCTTTGGTTTTTAATACTTTAAACAGGTCTTTTGCAGCAGATTTGCCCAGTGCAATATGCCATTTGATTTCTTGACTGCTGTTTCCACGGGCATTGAGGATCCAAGTAAAACGAAATCCTTAACAACTTCAGTCTTTTCTCCATTTATCATGATGTTGCTTATTGGTCCAGTTGTGAAGATTTTT